ATCGCTGCGCCACCGACGCTTTACAGGGAAAATAATCAAAATTAAAATATCAAAGGTATATATATGAAAGGACATCTTGCGTAACAGAAAAGTTGTTCGGAAAATCCCTCCTCACCGACCTAATTGTAATATTGATACGCATTTCGATGTCTCAGCTAACTCTGTAATAAATAATAGTCTCTCTTCTACATTGCACATCATTGTTCTGACATTTGCATACCATATATGTTGACTTCATCCTTATTAGTAGTTGCCTTTGTCATTGTCTAATTTCCAGTTTTAATGCTTCTCTTTATGGTTGTACGACAATATTGATAATGTGCTGCTTTAACATGTGATTTTATTTGTCTGAATGATCTTGGACTGTCTGGGTGGAATTGTGAGCGTAGGATTCTAGCGGGCAGTGTTCTTGATCCAACCAGTGTTGGGAATATCTTACTTGATTCTAAGTACTTGTTTTGAACTTAGAAAATTTACCAAAAAATATATAGCTGCCTTAGGGCACTATTGAAAAGAACACAATTATCGAAGAATTATTGTCTTCATATTGTCTTTGGAGAATTTTGTGATAGTGCATGTGTCGTCTCTTAAGGCAGTTTTGGTCAGCTACATAGCGTTACACAAAGAATGGTTTCCTACGCTCAGATAACAACATGTTGTAACTTCTCGTCTTTAAAATTTTTATCCAAACATGGCGGCTGAGTTATGATTAGTTATCAAGTCCAACAACAATAAACGAAATTTCATGAACTATGATCAGCATTTGACTGCCGGATAATTACACACTGTAAAAACAGTATGTGTGCTCTTGCATAAGTCCTTCCTGACAATGTTCAAATAAAGTTTAGCATATGTTGCAGCACTGTCACTCCTTGGATGGAGTCCAAGAGATGATCTGAATTAATGTCTCAGATTGTTATGACTAATATTCTCTCTATCTGTAGGTAGCAGAAAGTGGTGGACTCTGTTGTAGATGCAGTTTTTTCGCATGACACTGTTTCTCAGTCTTCCTGTTTATTTTCCGTATATATTATAATTTTTTTGTTCTTTTGTGGTGCCTCTCTTGATGCGCATTATTCATATCAAACTTGTGTCTGAACAAATAAAATAACTGATGTCAGCTCATGATGAAATCCCCCATGCAATCAAACGAAATCCCTACAAAATCCAGTACTTGAAGATTAATCTGATGCTCACTAGTGACTAGCCCTATTCAGGCAGTTAACCTGAGGTTCTAATGGGAAGCCGTGACCAGTAGGGTACAGCATGTTGAAGATGAGGCAGTAACTCATTGAAGAAAACATTGCGAAATGGTTACGCCATGTCTTGAATTGGCAGAAGTAAGAATTCAAGAACTATTGGATTGGGTCCCAGCGGCTCAATGGTCTACGAGCTCGCTTTGTAACCAGAAGGTCCAGGGTTTGAACCTCGGTGGGTGCGTACTGCTGAATGGTCCCAAACTAAGACAAAACAGCTGTCCAGTGCTCTCAGGTGGTTTTCCAATGATTCTCTAACTAATGTCAGCTCATGATGAAATCCTCCATGCAACCAAATAAAATAATGACATTAACTCAGGTTCCCGGATTCCCAGTCATCACAGGGTTGCTTGTATATATTTGATCTTTAGATTTCTACGCTTTTGTGGCAGTTGTAAGTTCTCTAACTGATATCAATCTGTGCGCAAACTTGAAAAACAAATCAAATCCCGACAAAAAACTATCTCTTGAAAGTTAATCTGATGCTCACTACTGACTGACTGGCTACAGGACGCGAAGTTGACTGGGTTTCTATTGAGAAGTTCTGTCAACAGTAGGGTCTACCAACAGGTCGGGAGTGAGAACAAATACTCGCGACAGGCGACAATGTTTGGTGCTAACCGTGATGTAACCAGGCATGGACTGGAAGAAGTTAGAATTGATGGGTTGGCCACTGAGTTGGGTCACAGTGGTTGAATGGTCTACAAGCTCACCGTGTAACTGGAAGACCGTGGGTTCCAACCCTGATAGTGGGTGCATAGTGGTGATGAGTCCGACACTAGGCTGATGAAACAGCTGTCTAGTAGTATTCCTTGCTGGCTTTTAGTGGCTCTCTAACTGAAATCATGCCGTAGTCAAACTTGAAGTAGATCATATCCCAAAAAAGCCAAATCCTCAAAACTATTATTAACGCATACATAAGTGTAGCTGTCCCATATGACTTCGCACTAGATTTTAAGACTGACACACTTAGATCGGTTCAAATCATTATTGTTCCCTTCCAGAAGCAGGGTTGAATACACCGGAGGGTTTAAAACTACCCATGTCACAGAGTATCCAGGATTTCCATTCCATCCTATTTGGAACTCGTCACTTGGATGTACTTAAATTCCCCGGTGAGTGGTGGTATTCCTCTTTGGGCTCCTCTTTGAGCTCACCGGGGAATTCAGGTACATGCACCTGATGAGTCTCAAATAGGACGAAATAGAAATCCTGGTGGATTCCACTGTTAGTTAGCCACCATCCACTGAATTACTTCAAGTTCATCCTTAGACATTGTTGAAGTGTCCACAGAGGAAGCCGACACGTCAACAGAGGCCAAAGATTTCAGTCCCTTCAATTACCGGGGAAATCAAAATTTAATTTATTGAAAAGGGAATAAAATTGTTTATAAAGTATACAGGGACACATTTCCTATATCCCATTTACGATTTGATGTCTATTTATTTCTTTTTATTTTATCCCTCCATTTATTTTTCCAGCCCCAACCCAATGCTTTTCCCTACATATTGATTCTTTTTCTGCCAGACTTAAAAGTTAGGGTAAATGAGTTCGTCTTTGCTGAGAAAATTCTAAGACAAATAACTAACTCTCTAGTCAATACGAATTCATGCGGAAGAATATTAAAGCACGTGTTACTAATACGGTACAAATAGACATATATAAATATATGTATACCAAGCCGCTTGCGTGTTTTCACGCATATGTAAACACCGACTAGCCGACTGATTGATTGACTGGTTGAACGTTGTCTACTTAAATATTTATTATTAGTAGTACTACTTTAATGATAAACATTATTTTTTTCTCATAGTCGGTGATAGCTTCACTTTTACTTAAGTGTCTCGAAGCAACAGCGAAAAGAAATTTAGCTACTAGATAAATTGCGTATAGCCCTATACAGATTTAATGTTTGCTTTAGGCTATTTCCCATTTTCCTCTGACTAATAAATATGATTCGGGTTTTAACGCTGTTTAAATTTGTGAAAATTCAGTCTTAATAATGTAAAGAATACTATTGAACATCGCATTGTATTGAACGGTTGTTTGAATTTTGAATTTCGCGTTTTGTGGTATCGGAAATATCCAGGCTCTGTTACATGTCCGCGTCTGGTATTATCGCTTTGGGAATGGAATCAAGTAACAGAAAATTAGAAAATAGTGACCACTGAAACCTGCTATGTAAGAGGTGCCTTATTAGTTTAAGGAATGACGCTGCGACAATTAAAACGACTGGTGTTGGGCGCGAGTTTCTGCAGGAAGAAATCATCCATTGAGGGGTGCAGACTCGTTCATTCATCTGTGGTGTGTGTTAAAGGGGACTACTGGGTATCATCAATTTGAAACTTGGTGGAATTTCTACCGTTTAAATTTTAATCACATTCCACCCTGTTCTCTGAAGTTCCCCTAAGTAGGTTCCATGATTGCTAATAAGTTCTCATCGCCCCCTGCACACATGATCTCCTTCATGTCAACCTCGAACACTCGCCCATCTCGTCGTCTCTCGTTTGCGTTCCACACAACCGATGACCTGGCGTGTGAGGACATCCAACGGTCTCCTAAGCATGCAGCCGATCCATCTCCATTTTCTTCAGAAGATGGGTTGAGCAATAGCTTCTTGATTGGTTCGTTCCAAGAGTTTGTTATCGTTGACTCTTTCCGGCTGCTGCCAAAAGCAGCTGCTAATAAAATTCTGCCACTAGCTGTTGTAAAAAACCTTCCGTGGTATGCATAACAAATTTCTCACCCATACAGAAGAGCTGAGTAACTTAACACTGATGTTTATGCCGCAGAATGACCAAAGTCTGTTTAAGCTTTCTGATCCTGACTCGTTTTGACATACTCGTCCTAGCTGTCTGTAGTTGCAGCGATACCTTTTAGATAATTGAAGGAGGTCACCTCTTTCGAAGTTTCTTCCGTTTCTCATGATTGTTGCTTGTTGTATTTATCTATATTCATCTGAAGTCCTGTCTTCTCTGGATGCTTCGTCTGACAGCTTGTTTGTTCTTGCCCATAGACCTTCAAGTTTGTTTGACATGTAACTTAAATCATCCACGAAGTCCATATTTCCCAAAGATTTTGTAACAGTCCAACGTATTCCTGTCCTCTTTGATTCACTGACCCATTTATTCCACACCAGAATCATACTGATTTGTATTTAGTTGACTTACAGGAATTCTAAGAAAATATAACTGACACAGTAACCGTTCAGAGATCTGAAATGAATGCCTTCCTTGCCTCCGATTCAGATTCTATTGATCACTTATTCTCGAGACACTAGCACACAACATTGATTTTCAACCATTTGGTTTAACCAGCCTATTTTTCTTCTACACATTCGATATTTAAAACAGGCATGGCGTTATGTAAGGGTGAGGATGACAGCTACGGTAAGGTGTTTCCGCGCAAAATATAGCAAAAGCCACCGCAGATATGCCAGATTTGTAAAAAAGGAAAGTTGATAAGACACCCTTGACATAACATTCTTGTAAGTACATAACACAACATCAAATAAGACCAGTTAACTACCTGAGGAAATTTAAGCCGTAAATGATCGCCTCCGTTCTAATTATTCAAGTATACTAAAACACAAGCGCGGCAAATTTGTTTTACTATACCAACTTATATACGCACTCGCGATTTTAGTGGGAAAAAATATAATAAATGTTTATTTTTATTGAATTTTTTCTTGATTAAATTTCTAAATATTTCCCTTTTTCCTAATTTATTTTTTCAAAACCCTAGAATCCTTTTGAAAATGAATGAAAAACTCAATCAAGAAACCTGAAGCAAGGAAAAGCAAGGATTGAAAATAGGAATTCTATCAACATTAATACCAAAAATAAATTGAAATGTTACCATCACACGAGAGAAACGTATCGTTCCATTTTAAACTGACCGCTATATTTATTTACCTTATATTATCATTGAATTGTTTCAATGCTCAATACATTCAACCAGGACTATGCGATAGCCGATGTCATTGTCCTAAAGGTGAAGGTGTCGTCCACTGTGACCGACAGGATCATCTACACGGTGTACCAACCAACATACCCAGTGGTGTAACAAAATTATTTATCCAGCAGAGTGATTTCCCAATACCAAATTTTTTAAATGAAGCTAATATGACTGGATTAGAAAAGTTGGAGTATTTACGCATTATTTATTGTAATCTACAAGTGATCGAACCTAGAACATTTATTAAAATGACAGAATTGAAACATTTAGACTTGTCGCATAATTCAATTATCCGACTGGAATCGTATACATTTTATGGATTACAATTAACTAATTTATACCTGCGTGAACAACATTCACTGCCACAGTCAGGAATGTTGATTACAGAAGATTCCTTTCATGGTCTGTCAGCAAGTCAAATTAATTTGCGCGGTAATCGAATTCAATCGGTTCAATATGAAATATTTGGTAAAGTACCAGGTCTTGAACGTTTAATCCTTTCAGATAATCGCATTTCATATATTGATGATGGTTTTGAAAGATATTTTGATACTCCAAACAGACTGCTTGATTTAACCGGAAATCCACTAGAGTGTAATTGTCGTTTATCATGGATTGCTCAAAGAAGTATTGATTGGAGAGATAGTCTACCGGGGTTAAATATGACATGTATTCATTATAGTAGTAGTAGGTCAGAAAGATCAGGCAAAGAGAAATTGATCTTTGAAATTGCAAAGTTAACCGCCGATCAACTTTGTCCAACATCACGCATCCAACAGATATTTATCAATGTCCTTGAAGATGCAAGTCGTGCTTTAATATCGTGTACTGCAGTCACTGTACCTAAAAGATCAAATCATCTTATGGTGAATAATATGGATTCAGTGGCTTCTGTTGGCATATTAAGTCATACACCACCAGGTGTAGCTTGGCGGTATGTTGAAGGTGGACAGTTGAGAGAGGTGAGACGGCTAACGTCAGAAAGTCAGACCGATTTGACCGGGGATCGGAATTATCTCTTCCAGTATAATTCAAGTGAAAATCATCCATCAGCCACTGTTCAACTGAATATTTCATTGGATACGAAACCACGAAGGTATACATGTGCTACATGGGATGATAAGAAAGAGACAGAAGAAGTGATTGTCACACTGAAAGGTCCAGAGATAAAATCCTCGCCGACATCGAATAACATCACTTGGTCAGCTAAACATGATAGCGGTGTGAATCAAAACTATTTGACAAAAATGACTGGGAAACAGTCAGAAGAGAGTATAAGAAATGAAATCCTATTTGAACAACCACACTACTTGTATCAAAAACAATTCACTTTATTAGAAATGGCTGTTGCCGTCATTTGTACATTTTTGACAACATTGATATTTCTGCTAATCGGTGCTAAATGTCTACGAATGTGTAGACGGCATACACTGTTCCGTTTAACCTCAAGTTGTAGTTCAATCGGTGTCAACGACTCTAAAGGTGTTTATCATTCCGCGAAGGTGTTAAAAAGTGAGACAAATATCTCTGAATCAAATATCACTCCAACAAAGTTGAATGATATGACAGTACAAAGTGGAATCAATGAAAATGGTTTTAATTTTATGCGAACACATCCTAATCCTTATCCACAAATGGTTTTATCAACACTAGGCAGTCATAATAACTTCTCGTCACCGCAGATGGCACAACATGCAAATCTAACAAATCAATATTTATCGGTGACTGGTGTCAACGGTTGTTTACCCCTTCCATTGCCTCCACCACCTCCCCCACCTCCTGCTCCAGCTTCATCGTCTGGTTCTGGCACAGAGGATTTACAACAGAGTTTAGCTCTTCTCACGTCGACACCACTTATTCAACAGAATAAGCTGAGAAATCTTCTAGCAAATGATAATGCAGCCGCTGCAGCAGCAGCAGCGGCTGCATTATCCCCCTTCCTGACAAACACACAACCACATATAGCCAATTGGTTAGTTGCTCCAGGATCACCGTATTCTGTGACTGGTAGTCATGTTTACGATGTGCCTAGAACACTTGAGATTAATCAAAGCACATTGCGAAGTTCATCAGGTTTGGTGAATCGATCTAGTCTTCTCAGTGACTTAGAATGACAATGGATTAATTAATGCAGAACAAGCAATAGTTTGCTTTTGTTTTGCTCTTTTGTTTTTGATTTAATTTTCTTCAGATTTTCTCTACAACGCATACACGAAGGGGCGGAGTGACAGACAAAAGGAGGGGACAATGAATTCCCTTGTATTTATCTTTTCGCTTTTTTAAAAAGTTCTTTCTGAATCTTAATCATAAACAAACCGCCACCCCCGCAACCATTTAGTAAGTTACTACACTTACACTCACACACTGACCTTTGTACCTTGACCCATTCTCTTCCTTTTCACAGCATGACCACATATCATCCGGTCCTTTGTTATTATACACCCAGGTATAGAAGCATTTTGAACAGGCGGACAGATTTACCTAACTAACTAAATCCAACTAATGCAATTGTTACTGCGTTTTACGATTGCTGTTATATATATATTATGTATTTCACTACCGCTAATTCTGCTGCTACTATTTCTAACACTGGAAAGGGATGTACTCATGAAATATAAATATCAGAGAATGAGAACTCTTCAACACTAAAATAGGATTAAGCTCTTTGTATCTGGCAAAAATAATTTTTGTACCCAAATGGGACCATGTGATGCCTGGATGGTCGATAGTGATCACAATTCTATTCATCTTTTTTGCTTGATCTTCACCGTATTAAAAACAAAAAAAAACGTAAACCAATAATGGCGGTTCATCTAAAAACAAATGCTGATTATTTTACCAAAAAAATAATAGTACTCCAATAACTTTTAATTATTTCCTTTCCCTTTTCTTTCTCAAATCTTTTTGTTCTGCCCGCCGTTTCCCCATCTTCTTCAAAAATGGCTCTTTCTTTCATTCTTTGTTTTTGTTCAAGTTTCAATGTAGCCACACAAAATATTGAATCCATGGAATATTTAACACGTTCGCTTGACAAAACTGTCCATGTGTAAAGCATTTCCGCTTTCCTCTCCTTATCTACCTACCTATCTATCTATCTATCTCCCTTTGAATACACTTTTATCTTGGCTATTTATAACCTCGAACAGATCTTATCAGCGAGGCTCACACACACACATACACGCACTCTTATACGCAGAAATGTGTGAGATATATTGTTGCCAGTCTTCATTCAGTTGTATGTATTCTTTTACTCTCGCCGCCTTTCACTGTCTCCCTCCTTTCTTTTATATTCATTCATTGGAATTATTTATAGGCTGCCGAATTATGCGTTACACATTGTCTTTCTTAAATTACTCTTTTGGTATTCTCTCTCTCTTCACTTTACGCTTTTCACTACTAGTTAATTTAATAATTCATTAACTAACTAATTAATTAATTAATTGATGCACGATAATAAGTATCCCCACTTTGATCATCATAACAGAGTGGTGAATGTAGACAAAAAGAACCCTCCCCCTTCCTCAAGGGGAGACGGGGTGGGAAGGAAACCATGTATGAATACCTATCTTCCTTCTTCTTTTCTTATCCAATAAAATCTAATGTGTACATATAATAAATAGTGATGATGATAATAATAATAAATTATGCTATTACTATTACTACTACTAATACTAATAATAATGATAATAGTGATGATACGCACTTTTCTTCTCCTTACGTGTATTTATGTTTACGTCTGATGGTCGGACAGACGGAGGGTAATGCTGTGTTGATTAATTTATTGGTGCCTATGTTATGACGTCGTTACAGTATTGTCGGCTTTTATGAAGACATACTGAAATAAAATAAGGAACAAGGAGATAAGGGAAAGAAATATGTGTTGTCGGGGGGGGGGGGAAGGGAATATCAACAGTTTCTGAGGTGTAAATTCACTTTTTTTCTTTTTGTATAGTGACATTCTGTCTGCGCTGACTGAGGCATTATTAATCGTTAAGATTTTGTGTGAAAATGTACTTTATTTGATTATGGTTAATTATATTATTATCATATATTATTGTTTCCTTTAATTCCTAGAGGAATATAGGGCTTCAGCTGTTCGTCTCCATTGCGTTCGGTTCTCTGCTAGAGTCTTCACCTGGCTCCAAGTCTGTCCACACGCTTTCATCTCCTCTTCACATGACCTCCTCCAAGTCACCCTCACACTGACGACCAACTCACCACTTCCCTTTCCGGTTCCACTCGAGCAATGGCTTGTCTAGTGATATCACTTGATGATTTCCTTAGAGTATGGCCAATCCATCTCCATTTCTTCCTGCCTATTTGTTGCAGAATCGGTTCCTGGTTGGTTTGCTCATTGCCAAAGATCTCTGTTGCTGATCTTTTCTGGCCAGCCATCTGATCTTGACTATTGAGAGGAGACAGCTGTTAATGAAGGTCTGTAGTTTGTTTGAGATGCTCTTTATGACGCGCTGGCCAAGTCTCTGATCCGTATAGTGGCACTGACTGACTTCACATTGGAGTTGAAAATCCGGATCTTATTTTCATTTTCATACTGAGTGCTTTTGACCTCCACACAGACTTGATAGTAGTGAAAGCTTGCCTTGCTTTCCCGATCCTCACTTTGATATCCTCGTCAGTTCTGCCTGTAGTTGAAACGATGCTTCCCAGGTAGGTAGGTAATTAGGTGAAGGAGGTTGTTTCTTTCAGGCTCCTCCCATTTATGCTGATCGTTGTCTGTTTTTGTTGTTCTTGTCCAGGAATCTTCATCACCTACCTCTGTTTTCTCTATGTTCACCTGAAGTCCTATCTTTGATGCTTCTCCTGCCAACTTGTTGCTTTTCGCTTGCATATCTTCCAGTTTGTGAGAAATCAGGCATATATCATCGGCGAAGTCCAGGTCCTCCAAGTTTTTTGTGTGAGTACATTTTATGCCTGTTTCCTCATTGCCCACTGTTTGTCACATTATCCAGTCCGCTGCAATTAGGAAAATCATTGGTGATACTAGGCAGCCAGCTTGTCTTACTCCTGTCCTCACTTCGAAGGATTCCGCGAGTTTCCCATTGTGGATTACTTGGCATGCAGCATTGTCGTACAGCTGTTGAATGAGATATATGATTGTTGGTGACACCCCATAGTAGCGTGGCAGTTTCCAAATAACCTCTCGACCGATGCTGTCGAATGCCTTCTCAAAGTCGATGAAGTTGAGATGGAGAGGTGACTGCCACTCCAAGCTTCGTTCAATGATGATCCGTAATGTGGAGATCTGATCAATGCATGACTTGTTCCTCTTGAATCCAGCCTGTTCTGGTCCAAGTTTCTCATCCAGAGCATGTTTGATTCTCTCCAGGATGATGCGGCTTAGTATTTTGCTTGGGATTTAAAAGATACTTTGTCGATTCTATTTGGAATGTATTAATAATAATAATAATTTTTGCTTTATTCCAAAAACAGTACTAATGAGATACAGCAAGGAATTTTCAGAATTTAGTACAATATTGCATCTAATTTACTGAAAACGACAAAAAATAAATATTACATAATAATAATAATAACAAAACGTTGCTATAACAGCTATGTAGCAATTACAGCTCCTAATTAAATAATAACTTATATGTTTCACGTCTAACAGAGTCTCCATCACATAAAATATGGGCTAAATAGGGTATTGTAGAATTTTTAAACTAAGTGGTGCAGGCGTATAACTTCTTATATTGACTTCTCGTCCTGCCTGATGAGATGCAAGGGGATAGTTGTAAATAAAGGGGGTGCAGGGGGTCTGCCAGTACGGCCTTTGCCCATTTTGTACAGGATTTTATATGTCTCTCGACTATAATATTGGCGAGCTTACGCAGTGGCGTACCACAAGCCCTACCCACAGCATTTAATACCCTTCGTAATATGATATAGTCTTTTTTAAGAGGCCCAGTAAAGATTAATGGACAGCAATAGAGTCCAATAGGTAAAATAAAGGAGTTTAAAAATTGCAGAAATAAAGGCTGGTTGATACCTGATTGTCTTAACTTTTTAATGTAGAAGGTAAAACGAAACATTTTCTTAGAGATTGATAAGATGTGGGATGACCATGAAAGATCAGAGGAAAGAACTAATCCAAGGTATTTAATGCTTGACTTGGTTTCAATTTCAGTGCTATCTATGCTACAAGCATCATAGGAACTAACTAGTTCATGGATGTCACGTCGATGCTTGAAAGTAAAGTTAACTGCCTGACATTTGGATGGATTTAACATAAGACCATTTGACTTAGACCACTTGCAGATGTTCAACAGAAAGCTATTAAGTTTGGAGCAGTCAGACTCGAAAGTGATAGGCAGTGATACATTCAGGCATATTTGACAAAGTTAGTTTCGTTTAAATGAGGTAGGTCGTGTAGGAAGAAAGAAAAAAGAAAAGGAGAGACGACGGCACCTTGAGGAACACCTGCTTTTGTAAACGAGGCAGAAGAAGATTTGGCATTATATGCAATATACTGCATTCTACCAGAAAAATACGAATGCAACCAACTCTTAGCTCAAGATCCCGTTTGCGTCAACGAAAGCTTATTTAATAAAAAGCCCTTAGGTACAGAGTCAAACGCAGATGTGTAGTCTAGGAAAGCACCACGAACATATTTGGCACCTTTGTCTAAACAAGAAACAACATTATGATATAAGACAACCGCAGCATCCAAGGTACATCTACCATGTTCATATGCCAATTGCTTAGGATCATTAAAAGGTTTTAATGAAGGTTCAAGACGAAGTAAAAGTAATTTTTCCATCAATTTAAAGCTAGGAGAAGTAATTGCAAAAGGCCTAAATTTAATATCGCTACCAGAAGATGATTTTGATGTGGGGATAATTTTAATGTTTTTTTCATGCAAACGGTAGAACCTAGAGGTGCTGCTTTTGATGAGAATTTAACCTGACTAATTGACTGACTGGTTTTTAGGATTGAAATTCACAAGGAAGTGCAGCAATTAGAGTTGCCACATTCTATATAGCGCGTAAAGCTGGAGAAAAAATATATAAACTCAAAAGAACTCATAGGAGAAATGTGAGAGATATTACAAATCCCAGATAGTAAATGTATGTGCGCCACCACGGAGAATGATCTTAAGTCATATCATCAATTGTCTCCAGCCTTCATTGGTTTTTATCATCCCTAGGACTCCAACCATACAGCAGTCTAGACTTCCCAACGTGGCTAACTTAAATTAACTGCCAAAAATTGCATTGACTGATGCCAACATGTTTTGGTTTGACCACCACTTGCTGTCTGCCAACCTAATCCTATGTCAGTTAACATTCCCCGTCGAGGATGGCGATGGATAAGCATGTGTGACGCATTTACCAGCCATCTGGGGTTGATTTAGCTTAGCAACCTCATCGATAGATTTTCCCTCCTTACCTAACACTGGAAGCCTAACTTCGACACTACTCACCCTGTTATATCACGTAACATGGAAGTTAGAAGACAGGCAACTATGATCGAAGACAGCTAGCTGGCCTCTTCATGTTTCCTACTTTCAGTGGTCATGTTTCACAGCCGTCAGGGAGGATAAAGCGAACTGCTGAGTAATATACCTGTCTTTCCATTGATAGTCAGCTGGAAAACACATCTGTGCCAGAAATGGAGTAAGTTAGCAAATCCCAAAAAAAGACTTCTGTATCCGCGCTGAGAGTTTGTCAGCAATTAACTTTCCAAGTTAGCGAAGTGGTGATCCACAGGCCCTACAATTTCACTCCTTATATTTAGGCTAGGAGAGGATGTAGAC